CCCCCCCCCCCCCCCCCCCCCCCCGGCCGGCAGCTCCTCCCGGGGACGCATCTGCCCTGCGGCACCCACCAGACTTGGGCAGCGGGTACGCCGTGTTGTAGTGCCTCTCGAAGAAGTTGAGGATGGGGCCGGTCACCTGGAGCGCGTAGTTGCCCTGGCCCTCGGCGATGGCCTTGGGGCGGCCCCAGATGCGGATCTGGAGGGGAGAGATGTGGGGCTCAGCCGCTGCCCGGGCTCAGAGCCCCGGGCGGGCAGGGGGGGCCCCCAGCCCCAGCCTACCAGCACGTTCTCTGAGTCGTTTTGCACATAGTCGAACTGGCTGACGATGAAGGCCAGCAGGTAGGTGGACATTTTGGGGGTGGTCTCAAACACGGTGACATTCCAGCTCTTCCCATCAATCTTCTGCTCCTGGGTGCCTGCGGGGAGTGGAGGGAGGAGGGTCACCCTGCTGCCCTGCCGGGCCTCCGGACCCCCCCGCCGGGGCCCCCCCCACCCCACTCACTCTCGACGGGCATGTTGGAAATGGCCCTGTGGTCGGAGGGGTGGATCAGCGTCACCGTGAAGTTGGCTTTCATGGCCGGCTCATCGAAGCAGGGGAAGGCTTTCCGTGCGTCCGCTGCCTGCATCTGCGTGGTGGCCACCACCTTCCTGCAAGTGAGTCCCGTCAGCGCCCGGGGGTCTCTGCAGGGGCCGGCACCCCCCCGGGTCCCTCCACTCACTCCGCGCCCTGCCTGCTCCCCAGTCCCCTCCTCGCTGGGGTGGCGTGCGGACAGAGGGGGGCACAGAGGCTCCCCCACACCCATCCCACCGTCCCAGTGGGAGAGGAGCCCCAAACCTGGCCCGTGCCCTCCACCATCCCCAGGCCAGCCCCGCGTCCCCCCCTTGGCCCCCTGCCCTCCACCTACTTGGCACCCAACTCATCCACATATTCGCTGCGGTAGAAGCCGGCCAGGTCGTCAGCCAGCTCCCCTGTGAAGATGCTGAAGAGCCGGTAGCGCTGGCCCTTCCTCAGCGGACGATTCAGCTGCACCACCAGGTACTGAGTGGTGGTCTCCAGCCAGGTGTCGGAGATGGCGGGCTGCTCCATGACACCATTCTCCGCCTCCAGCGAGACATGGAAGGACCCCTGCATGGTGTAGTTCAGCTTGTTGCTGTGGATGATGATGAGGTCGGTGTCTTGCATGCAAACGAAGACCACGCTGCTGTTGCCCTTGAAGAGGTACATGTTGTTGACATCGGGCGTCAGGAAGGGCTGCAGGGTCACCTCGTAGTAATCCGGCATCAGCGTCGTTGGCAGCCTCCACTGGTTCCAGGGTTTGCTGGGGTCGGCGGTGGAGGTGGCGGTGGTGGTGGGGGTGGTCGTGGTCGTGGCGGGGGTGGTCGTGGTCGTGGTCGTGGCATTAGGGGCAGCCGTGGCGGTGGGGGTGGCCGTGGCGGTGGGGGCGGCCGTGGTGGTGGTGTCGTCGGTGCCAGAACCTGTATGCTTGTTCTTCTCCTGGGCGTACACCACCGAGAGCGCGATGATGGTGGCCATGGTGGGTGGCGTTGGGGCCAGCCGTGGCGGTGGGGGTGGCCGTGGTGGTGGGGGCGGCCGTGGTGGTGGTGTCGTCGGTGCCAGAACCTGTATGCTTGTTCTTCTCCTGGGCGTACACCACCGAGAGCGCGATGATGGTGGCCATGGCCCCCACGGCCAGCACAATGGCCACGATGCCCACGGTCCTGCTGATGAAGAAGCCCGCCGCCATGGTGGGGCTGCAGGAGCGGTGTTCGTGAAGCTGCCTGGCTGGCACGGCTTTTAGCCTCTCGCTCCCACGAGGTTTATTAGTCCAAGTTAATGGGTGAAGTATTAAATGACCATAAGGCTCGGGGCGGCGACGGCCCCCGGGGATGAGCTTTCCACCCGCCCGCCTCCCGGCCTTGCAGGAGCACTAACACCCAGTGCCGCTGCAGCAGGGGGTAAAACCAGCAGCTCGGGACTGCACCATCAGGGATGGGCAGCGTGGGAGCGGGCACGGGCTGCGGGCCAGACTCCTGGGGTACCTCCCGAGCGCCTGCCTGGCCCTGCAAAAGGAGGGACACAGCAGGTGGTCACAGCCGGCGGCCCCGGCCCCGCCCTGCCGCCATTTTTTTTCCGCCCCCCCCGGCGGCGGCCCCCGCCCGCCCCTCTGCCTGCCAGGGACCCGCTGCAGGGGCTGAGGGCACGGCGGGCGGGGGCCGGCGCCCGCAGCCTGGCAGGGGCACACCTCGCCGGGCTGCCCACGCACCAGGGGAATAGCGGGAGGGCGCGGGGTGCAGCCTCGGGGGGCCACGGTGGCACAGGTGGAGACGGGACCGTGCCGGGGAGGAACCCGCCCTGCCCACTGCCCTCTCAAAGTCCAGGGTTGTATCGCCCAGCTCACACCTGGAGGTCAAACTCCGGGCCTCATGAACCCAGCCCAAGTAGCCACGTGCCAGCTGCCGCCAGCCACAGGGCACCCAGCAGCCTGCACGAGCCACAGGCCGCACTCGGGCAAGATGGGGGTCTCAACCGGCACAGCGTGCGACTGGGAGATGGCGAGTCCTGCGGGCACAGCCTCGCCTGCGCCCCACGGCGCAGAGCCCCCAGCCGGGGCCTGGCTGGAGCCGAGCAAACACACCAGGGCTCGGCGTGCGGGCGTACGGGACGGGGGCTTCTCCGTGAGAGCTTTGCCCTGGCAGGGGAGAGCAGCCCGAGCCCCCCAGGCCATGCGGGTCAGCCCCGGGAGCTCTGCCAGAGGCTTCCCCGGGCTGGGGCGGCAGAGCAGGTGCGGCAGAAAGCCACGGAGCGAAGTCCCCGTGCTGGTCAGGGTGGGGCGGGGAGGCACCGCGTCTTGTCCTGGGAATAGAAACTCCTTTTCCCAAGATCTGATCTCCCCATGCGGTGACGTGGGCAGGTCCTGCCGGGAGCTGCAGCTCTGGGGCAAGGGGTGAATGCGGAAAGGGGCTGAGCGGTGTCCTCAGGGAACCGTGCCCTGTCCCCAACAGCACCCAGCTGCAGCGTCACCGCGCCTGGTGGAGCAGCCCCGGGATGCTGCGGCGTCCCTGGGCATCCCGGCCCTGAGGAGCCCGGCCGTCCCCACGGCCTGGCCGTCCCCACTGCGTGCGGGCCTGCAGCACAGGCACGCTCTGTCCCGGCCCCTGCCCTCGCTCTGGCCAAAGGCACAGGGTCTGGGGAACAGCATACGCCAAATCACGGCTGGGACCGAGGCCACAGCCAGCCGGGAGGGCACCGGGCACCCCGCACGCCCTCCGTCCCGCACCGACGGGCACGCTGCCCCTGCCCGGGGCTGGCCCTTCCCGCAGAGACCCCCTCGGGTGCGGGGCGCGGGCACTCACCCCGCTCGTCAGCGCCGCAGCCCCCCGCCGCTGCCTGCACCCCCGCACGTGCCCCGGCTCCCCCAGCCCCAGCGCGCGCGGGCTCCTGCTCCCCCGCCGCAAAGCCTCCTCCTCCGTGGAGCCCTCGCAGACGGCGCACACGCGTGTCCCACGTCGCACCCACATCCCACGTCCCACACGCGTGTCCCACATCCCACATGTGCGTCCCACGTCCCACGCACATCCCACGTCCCACGCGCGCGTCCCACGTCCCACCCGCAGCCACCCGGGGCCCAGACGTTGGGCATCACCCCCGTCGCGCACAGCTCCCCCGCGGCCGTGGCCCCGCGCACCCCGTGGCCTCCCACGCACCCCCATCCCACCGCCCTCCGCAACCTCATGCACCCCACGGGCCCCCCACGAGCGGGCTCTGTAACCCCCACGCACACGAACCCCGCGGCC